CTCGGTATGGCAGTTTACTTCTGTCTTCTGGTGAATTCTGTCGCCAATGATGTAGCATTTCGTTTGACACCAGAGGAGCGTCGAGACTTGGTGAACTTCCATCGTCGTCATCGTTCAATGGTTGATCCACCAGCTGCCAACATGATGCTCTTGGTGAGAAGCTTATTGTTCGTTCATCACGAAAGTGATTCTAGAAATATTCCACCGAAGTGGAGGAGGTGGCTTCAAAGCACTTGTCATGCGATACAAAGAACACTAGTAAAATGGAAATACAGGGCTACAACTGGAACATGGCGTTGAGTGTGAAGAGGGGACCAAGTGTGGAAGACCTGGCTGCAGCTTGGGGCCATCAAAAAGCCCATTTTGACGCCAGCAAAGACGGAAGTTGCATGAACTGTGGAGAGTACAAGAAGGTAAGTAGAGATGTTCATAATGAGTTCATCCATCTCAAATGCGTGTTCATATAAGCCTTCCATTCCTGTAATGTGGTAGATGATTTGGGCGACTAGTCAGTTAATGGGCTGCGCAAAAGCCGACTGCTACAATTCGAGCTTTCTCCTCTGTCTCTACACTCCAGGGTAAGCATTTCCTACGATTTGGTCTTGAATGATGACCAACCTTTAGACCACCAATTAGCAGATGGTTTCAGTTTGTACAAATTGACTTCAAATTTGCAGTAGCCCTCAATGCACATGTAGTTCCTACCACACTTTAATGGCCGTCAAAGTAACCGACCTTCTCCTCTTTAGTGGCAATTGGTCGATGGAACAGCCCTACATCAAAGGCGACAGCTGTTCCGGCTGCGAGGCCAACGTCACATGCATTGAAAACCAATGCAGTCCTGAAGGTGCATCAAAGTCGAAACTTGGAACTTTCTTCTGGGGCATCATGGCCGCAATCTTCTACACATTTTTCGAATAACAATTCCTCCAATCGCATGCATTAGTGCCTTAATGACATGACTTTAGTAACACCAACGTCGACAGTGAACACCAAATCTGCTCCAAATCTTGTTTAATTAGATGGTGTAAGTACCACCGCCAAGATGGTAATTCGACTCGCCTTAATTCACCAAGATGCCATTAAACTTCATCATCCTTCCCCTTCAACTAACATTGCATAACTTACACCACTTCAACTTTCATTTTTGACTCGGTAAAAACATATTGGAGTAACAAAAAAGTCGAACCTAAAAGCGTGGAAATACAATGTGCTAGTACTGATTTCCCCGTCATTTGAAGACCACTGATATCCATCAGCTGAACAACAGCACTACTCATGAATATAAGTA